CAACTCTGAGACAGGTCATCTTAGAACATGCTACTGCACACAGAGTGGCTTCAGCCTCGCTGGAGATGGAAAAGAAACTTGATGCCTGTTCAGGAGGTCCTATGAAGATACAATATGCAGGACCAGCTCAAATTCTAAAACTAAACATAGGGATAAATATTGACATAAATATATAAATACAGTATTTAAGGAAAAAGCATAGCTTTTTAGAGAAGCTTTCTAGTAGTTTATTAAGAAATAGTTCTCCAGGCTTCATGAAGAGAGCTCCAAACACAAAGCTCTTCTTTGGATGTTGGCTTCCTTTGGTCTAGTTGTCTGTCAAGATGATCCCACACTGCTTCAATGATCCTGAGGTCTCTGGGGACGATTCAACACTTCATGACAACCTTTCTCCCCATTTTCTTTCCCTAAACTGGTTTATTGACAGCTGTCCTTCCAGCAAGACTATTTTTGATTAACCTCCAGTCAACAGTTGATGGTTCAGCTGAAGGTCCAGATGTGTCAGGTCTTTTCTGGATAATACTTTCCAGTTTCATCAAAACATCAATTTCAGAAACTGTCTAAATGCAGTAGATTGTGAAGGACAGAGACCTGCCATGTCTTCAGCTCTTGGGTATCACTGTGTTGGTGCAAAAATACTATCATGTCTCTGTCAAACTGCCTTAGGCATTTTTTTCAGATGCGATGAAAGAAATCAAGCAGTAAATTATAATGAGTTGTTTTTTAATAGCATGATTTACTATTCGCTGTTAGAATGGTCCGTCTAAGAGATGGACTGAAAATGTGAAGAAAAGCTTTGTATGACTCTCAGGAAGTCTGGAGAACCAAGAACAGAGACCAGTTTAAAAGATTACAAGATGTGAAGACTGAACTGTGCAGATATGCAAATATATTTCCATTATTCATCAATTATGAAGAAAAAAACTTTATTTGGTAGTTTTGAACATTGTACAATCTGGTTTTTAAATAAATAAAACACTTCAACACATACACTTTGTGCCCTCAGTTCATTTTGTTGTTAATTTTCTGACAACTCTCCTTTTTTATTACAAAACTTATAAATCTCCCTTTTGTTAGGAGAAGCTTTTATAATAAAGTCTGATCATAGAAATTTAATTTTTTTTTGACTTGGTATAATTTAAAATGCAAAACCAAAACAGCTAAATTGCTTATCTGATGGCTCTCAATTAGAAATTAACTATTTCACATTCCTAAATGGTCCAAACATTTTTTTTCCTTTCATCTTTAATCAGAAAAGAAGCTTTCAAAACATGGCATTTAGCATGCTCATGATCCACATTGAAAAGAACAGCTATGAAGAGGTAATACAAACAGAAGAACTTTACAGCTGCATCTGGGGAACAAAACATGTTTTACAACCTTGATTAAACTGTAAATGAAAGTAGTGTAGATACAACTAATCCAGTGTTGTTGCTGTTCCAATAATCCAGATTATTTGACTTCATGATTTAACACACCTCTGGGTGAAATGTGACGCAACATCAATGGCTGAAACACATTGTTTTAGACATCTTGCCCAGCAGCAGTGAACCAGTAACCGGGAAATGAACTTTCAGTATTAATCCCGATTACCAGCGGACACGCCTACCCAGAAGTCACCCAAATCAAGCTCTGTTTAATGAAAAATAAAACAGTTCCAGGATTTCCTATGCCTTGCAAAGCACAATGTCAAAATTCAACTCAGCAAACACTGTACACACAACGGGCTCAAGAATAGCGTCTGTGTGAAGGGACTATTTTTGGCTGAGAAGAAATCATATGTCCAGTTATCTCTTGATCCTGCCTCTTGTCCATTTCTCAGGACTTTAAAAAGACATGATCATTTTCCCCTCTTCCTTTCATTCTGTCCTCCGTGAAAAACCCCTGATTCATTGGGTCCTTATCAGTCACAATGAAAGGAAAACAAAGGACTTCTCTGAAACTCGTACACAGCCTCCCAGAAGGGGAGGAAGTGCTGCAGAACCTCCACTCATCACTCTCGCGCACGGTGACACAAAAGCACACACTCTTTTCGCAATGTCAATGTTCAGTTTTCAAAAGACACAAAGCAAAGATATTTTTACCTCCCGAAAGGCCAAGTTTTCAATTGTGAATCCAAGCAAAGATAGTTGTTTGAAACAAGCAAGAAAATAAGACTAGTCTGTCCCGTGGTTTTGACAAATATTCAATGTTTAGATCAAATAGTTCAGTTTACTTTGACATAGAAGAGTTTAAAACCGTGGGTCAGTATTAAGTTGTTGGTCAATGGATGTCTAACAAGCGCGCCCTACTACATTTCCACTCAAAAGTGTGAAGTTATTCATCCAATTATTTTGTGTCCAAACTTTTAAGTAGGACTCTCAAGCATAATAGGGAAGTGCTAGGTAGATCTGGAAAGTTTGTAATAGGCAAAGAAATGTTAGGGAAGGGTGGTATAAGCTGTAGGTAAAAGAGGAAGAAGGTAAAGGCTACATAATTAAGATCTTGGAGATAGATAGCAGAGTTGAACATGTCCCTTGCAGAGAAGAATTTTCAATTTGTACAGATAGATTGAAGATGATTGTGCAGTTTTGGCAAAAGTGAATTCCACCAGTGTGAAATCAGAAGAGAGCAGGCTGTGTGCACAGATGTCCAGATTGCCATGGGGAGAACAAACTGGAGTGCATGACTTCTAGAAGTCATGCACAACTAAGCTTTGCAACTGTGCTAGATAGCACAGTTGCAAAGCTTAGTTGTGTTTGAAAGTAACAACAGGGTGAAGAGTTGCGACACTTAATATGGTAAAATCTTGGCGAAAATAACTCAACTCCACCCGTTTAAGAAGCACATCAATCACATCCGTCTGTTTCTGACATTTATATACTGCAATGCAATTATATTTAATTTTAACAACATCTATACAGTTTTTTTCTGTATTTTGTTCTTTAATTTACTAGATTTATTGAAAAGTGGAAAAGCTGATGATCCCTTTAAATAAAAGCTGTCCCCTGCGGTAAAAAAACATCTTGTAAATGGAACCACAGAACTAAATGTCAGCCAACTTCCCACCCCAGAGGTTACTTCGTGCTTTGCCATTTCCAGGGACACACATTAATGAATGGACGAATTACTTTTGAAAGCACAATTACTGCTGTGTAGCTCCAACCACAAGCAGTTTTTCTCTTTACAGTTGTAATACTGTAGTTTGTTTTAAAAATCATCCTTCACCACATGTCCATGGCATTGTGAGCTTGTGTCCAAACTTAATACTTTCTTTTTGTTTTGAATCTTTTTTTTCTTAGCTTGTGCAAACTCTTTCTCCTAAAGCCTCTGTAATCTGATTCTATGTGGCTGGACAGACCTTTAGGTCCAAAATAAGTCAAGAAAAAGGCTGTAAATCCCTATTGTATGCTTTAATATGGTATTTTGTGTATCACTAACATGTTAAAAACAATGTCCAGCTAAGAAAGTTTGATTTCTCAATTTTTTCCCAGATCTCCGGAAAGTTATTTTCTATAAATCTAGAAAGACGTGAGACCTATCGAAAATATAACAATGGTCCATGCTACTGCACAGCCTAATGCAACACTGTTAGTTGCGCCTCAAACTTTAAATCAAAAGTATTTCACCCTCTTACACTGCATAAACATAGCCTTGCCATAAATTGTGAGCTTTCGGCTTTCTGTTTTTTAACCTTTGTTTTGTTTCATAAATACAATTGCACAACCTAGTGGGCTCAGTGTAACGTGCAGTAAGAATGTGCTCCTATAAAAAACAATGCAATGTTTCTCTCAGGTTTGGTTCCTGAGAGAAACATGCCTCTAAAGAAGAAATAGACTGAAAGGAAAAAACTTCTCACACCAAATTAAAAATACTGACTATTGCTTTTTTGACAATGAATATGTTTCTTTGAATACAAAAGGTGGGCTTTGAGCATCAGCCACGACGAGCGGGCCTTGGTGATGGTTTTTGATACATTTTGGTTGGAATTAATGTTGATTCAGGGCAAATAATAGCGTTACTCTGCGGGACTGAGCTTGCAGATAGATGTTAATCTCAAATGAGAAGTTACAGTGACATTGACACTGTCTTCTATGTCTGTCTTCTATTCAAAATAAGAAAAAACATGTTTTATCAACAATACTAAATGCATACATACACAGTAAGGCACGTGCATATTAACTTTTAATTGCTACTACTGACAGGTCAGAACTGAAACAATCTAAATGCTGCTTACCGTCTGGATTGAAGAGGAATAAAGGACTTCTTTATTTCAAATGGGAAGTTATGGTGGTATATTAGGCACTGGAATGTCCTGTCTTGCACTTATTTATCGCCATAGTTTTAAGCACTCGACATTGGTAACTTTGCATTTTCGTTCCACGTCTTGTATGGGGATAACAGTATTGGTCAACCACGCATGCGCACTCAGAAACCATGACAATTACGTTTGAGTAGTATATAACGTTTCTAGCGTAATAATTTGCGTACTTTTTAAACCGATCATATCTATTCTTGCGCGTAGCTATATTTTTAAGCTGGTAAGTAAACGATACAGCTCAATTTAACTATAATGGCCAATCATCGTTGAAAACCTAATCCACAGAACTCTAATTTTACTAAATTTGAAAGCACTTTCCACCCGGAAGAACAGCTCAGTGGAGAGGAAGCGGGTCATACTCTAAACATGCACTGGAAGCAGAACGCTAGGCTCCTTTTTCGAAGAATTCTAGCTAAATAAAACAGTTGATTGTTTTACTGGTGACCTTTCTTACTGCGTTTCGATTAATTGCTACAAAATATATATTTATCAAAGTCTTCCTGCTTCTTTTGTGCTGTGATTTCCATTTGAGCTAATGTGATCGATCAGTGTAGGACGTGTTGGTACAACTGTAAAATACAGTCTAAATTAAACCGTGATTAGTAATTTATAAGGTAGTCAATTTACGTCTGTTAACATTGATTACCACAGAAAATAGGTGATGAAAAACTAAAACCAGATTACTTTAACAGTTGTTTTGATGGCCATGGAGTTCTTGCCAGTGCTGGACCCAACAGACAATCCAAAAGAAGGAATTTGGTTAGTATATTAGGATTAATTTGCTGAACCACATGTTTTATTTTTTGTCCTTCTGATTTATCTTTATCGTTGCTGTCTACAGGTATTCTCTAATCCCTGGTGGAGATGCTCCAGGTGTCAGTGTGGGTCATACCTGCATGTTTATGCCATCTGGAAGCGGAGGAAAAGGAAGAATCCTTATTGTTGGTGGAGCCAATCCCAGTGGCAGTTTCTGTCATTCCCACGTTATAAATCTAGGTAAATGTGTTCTTAAAGTCTTTCCAGGATTGCTGCTTTGTTTCCTCAGGATGCCTCATTGTCATTGCTTTTTCTGTAAAAAGATGACATCAAGACAAAATATTCAGTTAGTTGTCAAAGAACTTCTTTAAAACTTTTTTTGTTTTGTTTCTTTAATTAGATGATCATGAATGGGAAACTTCACAATGGGAAGGTTTGGAGTCACGATATGAACACTGCAGCTTCGTTCCAGAGGGCGACCCACAGAGCCTGTGGGTGTTTGGGGGGGCACAGCAGAGCGGAAATCGCAGCTGTATTCAGAAACTTCAGCTAACGGGTAGAAAATAATTTTTCTGTGTACCCTGTTCCTGCACAACCGTATTGATTGTGCAGTATGTGAGGTTTTTATTAGAACAGAATATTCAAATAGGTGCATATCGCATCCAGACAGCACGCCTCACTGGCAGAGTGTGGTGGTGAAAGGAGAACCCCCCAGTCCCAGGACGTACCACACCACTTCAGCATGCATAGGGGACAAACTGTACGTCTTTTCTGGTGGGGAAACAGGAGCCGCTCCCGTCTCTGATGCCAGACTTCACGTCTTTGATACAGGTTAGTGTGGAATGAAACTCATGCTTAACTTGATTCAAATCGTATTTAATCTCCTCTAAAATGCTTGGTTACCCGTTTTTAGCCGCCATTTCTTCATTACTCGTAACTTTAGGAAAGCACAAGTCTGATCTGGGGACGTTGTTGTTCTTTCAGAGTGAACAAATGTTAAAAGATTATTCATTTGACAAATGAACATCTAATTTGTGCATCATGTTAAAATGCTCTCCAGTGTCCTCCACGTGGTCCCAACCAGAAGCAGAAGGTAGACAGCCACCAGCGCGACATGGCCATGTCATCGTGGCTGTCGGCTCAAAGATCTACATACATGGCGGCATGGCTGGAGAGAGATTCTACAATGATATGCACTCTCTTGATCTAAGTGAGCCTCTCTGAGTACTCAAGGATTAACAATAACATACGGTACCATGATATTTTCAAAATGGAAGTTTACCTGAATTTATTTAAAAGCATGTTATCTGTGTTTAAAGGAAGCATGAAGTGGGAGAAAGTACCGGCCAAAGGCGATATTCCTCCAGCTGTAGCAGCCCATTCTGCAGTTGTGCTGGGCACAAACATCTACATATTTGGAGGACTCACAGCAGACGGTGCCACTCACACCATGTACAAATTCAACACTGGTACTCTCCATTTATACTTAAGATTTCTGCATCTGCAGTACTTCGGTTTAGATTTTTTTTTTTATGTAACTATACATTGTAATGTTATACTCTCCTTACAGCCAAAAAGCGATGGAGCCTGATGAAATTTGAAGGAGATTTCCCGGAGGACCGCCTTGACCACTCCATGTGTTTATTACCATGGAAGGTTTGTGCTGAGGGAGGAAAAGATGGAGAGCAAGCCAAAACCTCAGAAGCCTCTGAAACATTAACCCTGGCCTTTGTATTTGGAGGCATGGACACACAGGGCATTATATATAATGACTGTATTGTAACTGTTGTGAAGTGAAGATTTTTATGTAATAAACAATATATATATATCACTGCATTTATTTTACAGAATAAGGATTAGGGTTAAAAAAATTATGTAGTGATATGAGATGCAGTTACAGTGAGGCTTATCTCACTGCTGTGGGACTGAGCGTCAGGACTTCAGTCCACAGCCTTAAGATTTCAAAGGGTGGTTTGTAACAGCCCTTGTTTTACTTGTCTAATATACAAGTTAGTGATCACATTCTCTTTTCAGTTTACCTCATGAAGAATGAACAAAGTATTTTCTGCAACCAAATATGAGAGACAGCAGTTTGTATCAAACATTTATTTCAACACCTTTTCATAAGCACAATGATCTGACTCAATAAATAACCTTTAGCTTTGCCTGTGAACACAAATGCCTTCAATTGCACAGACAACCTACTAAGTGTGCTCACAAATGCCTGTCTTACCCACCCACCCACCCCACTAACTCGGCCCAAACACAAAACCCCATGGGGACTGCCTGAGAACAGCAGCAACGAGCCACGTATCCGGGCTGACGAATCTCCGCCTTCCTGCGAAGAGAACACTTCCCACACTGGAACCTATTCAAGTCTTTTAGAAGAGCCAGTGTGGTTGCTTGTTATCGCCACCCCTTCCCTGCCATTCGTCTCACTTTTGAGTCCCATCGTTTCAAAATGTACATGAAGACGCCACTGCAAGAGGGGCAAGGGGCGACGGAGGCTCCTGGGCCTGCCTACAACTCGTCCTTGTCCTGCTCGCTCTCGGCACCCTCGGGTGGGGGAGCGCCTGCACTGCCGTACAGCTTGCTGATGATCGGCTGAACAATCTCCTCCAGCTCCTTCTTCTTGGCCTGGAATTCTTCCAGGTCGGCGTCTTGGTGCGACTCCATCCACTCGATCTTCTCCTCCACTGCCTTCTCGATGGCCTCCTTGTCGTCATCCGACAGTTTGCCCCCGAGCTTCTCCTTGTCTCCGATCTGGTTCTTCAGGGAGTAGGCGTAGCTCTCAAGCTCGTTGCGGGCGTCAATCCTCTCCTTCAGCTTCTTGTCTTCGTCGGCAAAGCGCTCGGCATCGTTCACCATGCGCTCGATGTCCTCGGGGGTCAGGCGATTCTGGTCGTTTGTGATGGTGATCTTGTTCTTGTTGCCGGTGCCTTTGTCTTCAGCAGTGACGCGCAGAATACCGTTGACGTCAATCTCAAAGGTGACTTCGATTTGGGGAACACCACGAGGGGCGGGGGGGATGCCCGTCAGGTCGAAGGTGCCCAGCAGGTGGTTGTCCTTTGTCAGAGGACGCTCACCTAAAGAAGAGTTCATAATTAGACATGTGCAGCATTTTCTTTTAGAGAAAGAGGGGGGAAACTAACAAGTTCTTAGAGGAGTCATAACATTTTTGCATCTAACCCTCACCTTCATAAACCTTAATGGTGACAGTTGGCTGGTTATCAGAGGCTGTAGAGAAGATCTGAGACTTCTTGGTTGGCACCACAGTATTTCTTGGGATCAGCTTGGTCATTACTCCTCCAACAGTCTCAATGCCAAGGGTCAGGGGGCAAACGTCCAGAAGAACCACATCATCTGCAAGAAAGACATGTTTAAACAAAAAGAACATTTGACAGTCAAGCGCAACAAAGCGTGTTAAAGAGATCACTCACTCATGTTCTCCTCTCCAGAGAGCACTCCGGCCTGCACAGCGGCTCCATATGCCACAGCCTCGTCAGGGTTGATGCCTCTGGATGGTTCTTTGCCATTGAAGAATTCCTTCACCAACTGCTGGATTTTGGGGATACGGGTGGAGCCTCCGACCAGCACAATCTCGTCAATGTCAGACTTTTTCAGGTCAGAATCTTCCAGCACTTTCTGTACAGGCTTCATGGTGGAACGGAACAGGTCCTGTAAGAGTGAGGGAAGAAAAAAAAAAAAAAGGTCAACACCAATGTCAAACATTAGGTTTCACAAAAGAAAATCTATACAATATCTTGAGAATAATGGACATACCATGTTCAGCTCTTCAAACTTGGCACGGGTCAGTGTCTCAGAGAAGTCCTCTCCCTCAAAGAAGGACTCGATCTCAATGCGGGCCTGGTGCTGGGCAGACAGAGCCCTCTTTGCCTTCTCGACCTCACGACGCAGCTTCTGCACAGCACGGTTGTCTTTGCGCACATCTTTGCCGGTCTTTTTCTTGTACAGCTTGATGAAGTGCTCCATGACGCGCTGGTCAAAGTCTTCACCGCCCAGGTGAGTGTCACCGTTGGTGGCCACCACTTCGAACACGCCGTTGTCAATGGTCAGCAGAGAGACGTCGAAGGTGCCTCCACCCAGATCGAACACAAGAATGTTCTTCTCCCCATCCCTCTTGTCCAGGCCGTAGGCAATGGCGGCTGCAGTTCTAGATGTAAAATTAGAGATGTTAAATCAGAGATTAAAATCCAATCACAATCAGCTTTCTGTTGAAGAATGGCTACAGTGGCCAACACTTACGGTTCATTGATGATTCTCATGACATTTAAACCAGCAATGGTTCCAGCATCCTTAGTGGCCTGGCGCTGAGCATCATTAAAGTAGGCAGGGACAGTGACCACAGCATGTGTGACCTGACAAAAATGAGAAACCACTTTCAGTTTCACTACATCAGCAATAGATTTATTTTTTAAATGGACAGAGATTTGTTTGTTTTTTTACCTTCTTGCCCAGGTAAGCCTCAGCAGTCTCCTTCATTTTGGTCAGCACCATGGCAGAAATCTCTTCAGGGGCAAATGTCTTCATCTGACCACCTCCAATGTCGACCTGGATATGAGGCTTGCTTTTCTTCTCAGTTACCTGGAGGACACACAACAAAGATATAATTTCTTAGCCAATTTTCACTAAAGCCATCTCCTTTACTCCAAATACTCATAAGCATAAACTTACTTTGAAGGGAAAGTATTTGATATCTTGCTGCACAGAGGAGTCGCCCCAAGCGCGGCCAATGAGACGCTTGGCGTCAAAGACGGTGTTCTCCGGGTTAGAGGTCAACTGGTTCTTTGCAGCATCACCAATCAGACGCTCACCCTCACTTGTGAAAGCCACATATGAAGGGGTGATGCGGTTACCCTGGTCATTGGCAATGATCTCCACACGGCCATTCTTGAAGACACCAACACTACAGCCAAAAACAAAAAAATGATTAATACATTTACTCTTTTGAAAGCATCATTCCATCATCCTATTATTAAAAAAAAAAAAGAAACAGAAAAAAATGCTTTAAGTTTTTCCTTACCATGAGTAGGTGGTCCCCAAGTCAATTCCAATGACAGTCCCCACATTCTCCCTCTTGTCGTCGTCGTCAGCAAACACGGTGCAGACCACCAGCATCAAAACGCACAATAGCTGCATCTTCGACTGCTTTTGCTCTGAGCTACGAGAAAACCTGCAGAGAGGGGGGGTGAAAAATGACGTAAACTAATGTGTCCTGAATGCATAATGTACGCATTTCACGTGGCTAGCAGCAATTGGTGAGCCTCAAAACCATAGTTAAGAGGAAGTGAGGCCTTCACTAATAATTTCACATGATAACATTATATTGATAAACTTAAGAGCTGGAACTACTAATTCTGCCTTTCCAGTCTTTTAGGTTCACCAATATGCTAGTCTGATATCCGCCGGCGTCAAGCTAACCACGTTAGCATGCATTGTGAAAAGAGGGAGAACACTATGGTAGGTTGAGAAGTCGAAATTGCAGAGTTCACACATTAAATAGATTTTAATAATTTAATCAATCAACGAGGCTACAGTTTCGTTAAAATTGTAACCACCAAAACATCAAATGTCAAGCTTTACAAGCTTTCTGCGTTGTAAAAATACAAAAAGAAAGAAAGAGAGACAGCAACTCATTACATTTTCATCTAATGCATACCTTAATTTCAGCGTTGTCAATCAACGGCCTTAGCGATGTCGCAAATGTAGCGAACTTTCTCCAAATAGCTGCGTTTCTCCTTACCCTTTCTTGATTTTTGCCTCAGTGAATGATGCTGGATGAAGTGTGCTCGCCCAATATATAAGCAGTTGTTTCTTGCCCGTCGTGGAGGCTCGTGATTGGATGGGTAGCTGTTCGTTGGAACATGCTGATTGGTTTTACTCAACACGCTGGCCGCCGCTGATTTGTACACATCAGGTACATGTGACGTCACCATCTGGGGTCTTTGTGCTCATTGCTGATTGGCCAGCTGTCAAAGGGAACTGTGAACTCAGTTGGTGCAACAATACGCCAATCTAAAGATGGGGGATGAGCGTTTCATTTTCACATTTCATTCATTTTGAATTGTGCCATTTTTAATGTGATTATTGTTTTCTTTACAGTGTAACTTTCCGTATTGATTTGACTTACATATGTTACTGTGTGAGACCGTTTTTAGTGTGGCTACTGTCAACTTATCATGTCAAGTTATGATGACTATGTAGTAACAAATGCCCAAACCCTGCTATAACTGTGATTTAGTTCAGCAAAATGTTGCATCAGAAGAAATGGCTTGTTAGACAGTTTCATCAGACGGTTTTTAGATTTGTAGTTAAGGCATCTAACTTTAAAAGGAGCCTGTAAACAATAAGATTTAAACCCCCTTCACTTTGGTTTCATTGAACATTACATCCAACATGCATAGTGTAGTATTATTACTACATATACCACTGGGCGCGGGTAATGAACAGATTGCACACAAAAACAATATCACTAACACAACATTATTTTAGTACAGTCACAGAAGGCCAGAAACTTTGCTTTAGAATATAACCAAAGAGAGAACTATCTGGAAAGTTCCAGAAATAAGTAGAGAAAAAATTCTTTATGCTGTTCATTTTAGCTTTAGATCATAGGTTGGATTTTTCTCTAGCTTTAAATGGCAAGATCATGGCTACAACGAATTTACATGTGGTGTTTTTTTTTTAGTTCCCTTTAATCACAAAGTGATCTCTTTTTTTTAGGAACAAATCAAAGTGGTCAAACAAGTTATTTTGTTCAAAGAAATGTGTTGCTTGTATTCAACTCATAGACACTTTTCATGCCTAAATAAATTAAAATGTTTCCATTAATCTGTTATTTGGCACACCTTGGTCTGAATCTCTAAAATCAAAAAAGTATTGAAAACTTAAAATAGTATTTAAGGATCAAATTACACTTATGGCTGAACAAACTATTTACACAAAGCCACTGAAAAGCAGATACATAAAGATCAACTAATATCTATAGTCTAATGATGTTTTTGAAGTAGGATTATGATTTATGATACGTTTTGTACCTTTTTAAGACTTTTTTCAGAGGTCTGAATTCTGCACAGATGTAGTTAATAAATATTTTAAACAAATACAATAAAATCAAATAACGCAATTTTATTTCAATACAAACCTGTAACCCTGCAAACCCCAATGGATGGATGGATGGATGGACAAACCTGTAATTTCGTGGTGCTAAAATAAGTATTCATACTTCAAAAGGTCCATCTGTGATCTAGGCCTTATTCCACTGAAATAACTGTTACCACAAATTTACAGTTTTACAAGATTAAATGTGAAAGCTCAGTTATTGTGGAAACATCTCCTTTGCAATCAGAAGATTTAGATTTTACTCATTTTCATCGTCAGTACTAGGTCATATCCTAACATTATTCTGGTGTCATAATGAGCTAACTTTTATTGCCTTTGCAGTATTATTTATATAGTTACTTAGGTGTTTCTCTTTCCATCAATGTCTCATGACGCAATGAATTGTAAGATTGATTTAAGACTCAAAATCTCATCACATCACTGTCTATTTTTTAATGTAATAAACATGAACACCGGTTAGGTTTAGGGTTAGGGTTAGGTCACATTTAATCTTAAGCAGCACTCATATATATCTAATTGTGATTTAGATATTTCTTAGACATTTACTTTTGCTGAAAATAATTCAGTATCAACAGTATCAAAGTATTATTCTATCAAATAGGTTAAAACAAATGTCTAATTTGATCCATCTATCCACTCTTTTTCTGAACCGCTTATTCCGTAATGGGGTCGCTGGGACACTGGAACATATCCCCAGCAGTCAAGGGGCGAGAGGCAGGGTACACCCTGGACGGTCCACCAGTCCATGGCAGGGCCTGTCTCATATTGATTAAAGATCATTAAAGATCAGAGAATTTGGAAGGCCAGCTCACTAATTTAGGAATCTATCTATGTCATTCATATTACTGACATGTAGCAGAGTACAAAGTTTGACTTTGTGGTGTATCAGTGTGCAGTTTAAGGGTATGCTGTAGATGGCGTATGAATAAGATGAGTACATTTTTTCGTACCATCAGAAGGATCACAGCACTGGATGAGCTCTACCCCCCTCTGCTGGTAGAGATGGGTGTGGGTTTGGATTGATGACGTGGTTCGGTCCGGTGACCACAGCAGCAGGATGGCCGACCAGAGTAGGCAAATAAAACTGGCTGCAGCTAAGAAAAAGGTAAAGTGTTTTTCAGTCGATATGGCGAAGTACCAGGTTAAGCACGGTCTCAATAGCCGCTTTGCACATCTGTTTTTGTGTCTATCTTTGTTGTTTTGTGATACATATCTTGACGGACCTGGGGTGTTGTCGTTACACGTCGTCCGACCTCTTCGCTGTCACTTGCCCGCCTCTCGAGCTTATGACGAGGCTTAATCACGCAGGAGAGACTGGTGTTTGCTCTGGGCCTCGACGGATAGCATTTACCTTCCAAGATAATACAGGCAATTCTTAGCTCAGAGAGACATTCACTATATCCCATGTTGTTCATTTAGCATTAGCTAGCTATCTTTGTCCATGAGGTTCTCTGTCCGTGAACATTATAGTAACTCACTGAAAAAGCTTAACGTGCTAACTTAGGCAAGTTAATGTTAGCATTCTGGTACACCGGCTAATAAGTGAGAGTGTAAAGAATGCCACAAAGCAGTCGGACACGTCTCTCTTCCGATAGCAACATTGTTGGAACTTTTGAAAATGTCTATCCAACAGTAGTTTTTTTAAATTTCACAAGTAGCAAACCAACACTAGCACAGTTAGCGGCGAAGAATGACCGGGAGTGTTTTGACAGCTGACACCTTTTTCCAGCTCTGCTTGGTGACTTTGCTTGGTGTGTTTTTGAAGCTAGTCAGGAAGATGGCCTTATCAGCTGTTAGCTTTAGGGAAAGACTCGTCAGCATTTGCTGTGTGCCCACAAATGTCGCGGATGAGAGGTCGGAACATTTCTCTGCGTTTCAAATAGTATCTGGCAAACGGTTACTTTAGTGGTCCTCTCGTGATTCCATTAGCCCCCTCCGACAGCTGTTGTAGGCCCCATGCCCATTGGCTTTCCAAGCCATTTACTCTGTCACGTACAATATGATCGTCCTTTCTCTCCAGGTTGCATAATATATTATTGACTTTAGAAATAAAAAAAAGTATTTTCTTAAACTGATCGAGAACTTGTTTAGAGTTGCTGTTTATATTGCTCTACTTTTTAAAATGGGATGCTTGATAGCTTTCTGGTGCATAGCAGATAATTCCCCACTTCATCTCATGACAAAGATTTTTCTAAATTTGTCAGCAAGTATGCAACAACTGTATGTAATGCTCCACTGAATTGGTGTACGTGGTGAAGGGGAGGCAGGCTACAGCTGTCTCTGACCAGACCTGTGTCCTCAGCTTCACAGGCATGCCTGCTGATTAGCAGCTGCAACACTAGTTAGAATTTAAGGGCTCGAAAACTGTTATGTTCATATTTTGCCCAGAGTTTGCATGTTCTCATTGTGTATGTGTGGGCTCTCTATCCAGAGACGGCTCAAAAACATGCATGTTAGGTTCATTGGTTGTTCTAAATTGCTTGTAGGAGTGAATGTGAATGTCTGTGGTACAGCTCTGTGAGGATTTTTTTTTTCAGTTAGCAATGAATTATGAACAGCAGTCAGTCTTGAACTCGCTTAGGGATTTCAAACAGGCCGCATATCTGACATTGTTCTCCGGCACTGTCTGTGTTGCTAAGACTATCAAATTGTTTCACATGACTACAGTTTCCTTCATTTGTGTGTTGCATAGCTGAAAGAGTTTCAGCAGAAGAGCTCCCCTACTTCTGTAGGTGGAGAAAAGGGAGGAGGTGGAGCAGGGGCCAAGAAAAAGAGAAAGGTGAAGGGGCTGAACCAACTCGATGCATCTTTAACAGGCAGAGATTCTCCAGACAATGTAAGTTTGTCAGACCGTTTCTATTTCTTTAAGTCCAGTCTGCAAAATACTATGTATCATTAATTAAATTAAGATCTTAAGAACATTTCTGGAACATAGCTTTTCTTTTCTTTTTACGTTATCCATCTATCAAGCGCACATTCCTAGAGGCACAGTAGCAGCCCCCCTTGTTGGTAAATACAAAAAATGGTATATTGTTGTATGTCTGCTTTGTTTAATGTATATAGTCAAATTGAAACTCTTATAGAGCTCTTATAGATGGCAGATTTTGGTGTTACTTGGATGTAACCGATAATATTTGATCAGTGCTTAGACCCATTCTGGTAACAGCTGTCACTGTGTTACTCCCTCCCTGTTAGAGGCACAGGGACTGTCATCTGCAGCACTTAAAAATGTTGCAGGGGAACCACAGGCACTCATCTTTGTGAAAGAATCACAAGGAATTCACTTGCATTCTCCCTGTGCAGACTGCCTGTTGGTTTCCTACATGTACACCTTTTGTTTTCCTTTTTCTATGGCTTCCTCTCGTATGCTGTTTCTCTTAAATATTATTTTAGACAATTCAGTGATTTCCACACTTCATTATCAATACATTTATTGTTGTCAGATAATTTGTGATAAAGTGGGATTAGAAGTATGTGAAACACGCTGAAGATTCATTCAGTTGTTTCTGCACACTTAGTAGCTGCTTCTCTGTCCCTGCTTACCTTAGTTTGTACATTTTTTCCAACCCTGCCACATCTCTCTCTGTCTTTGTTTCTTCTTCCTGTAGTTTGACAGTATTCTGAAAGCTCTTAGTCAAAGCAATGGAGTAGTCCTCCCTTCTTATGGCAACTGTCAGGTGAGCCTCTGTCTCTCTCTGTTTGACTTTTCTCTGCATCCTCTGCTGTAAATAGATGCTCCTCTTTTGGCAATTGATCATGTGACCTCATTCTTTTACCTCTTCTCATCAATGACACAAAGGCAAATAAAAAGCATGTGAAGAATTTAAATGTGATTTGTTTCTCTGAAGTGTTCTGAAAGTAAGGAAGTTGCATAAAAAGTGACTTAATGGGACATGTGCATTATCTTTTTTTCTTGTGTTTTCTCATTTTTTAAAATACATTTGTCCTATGTTTCTCATTTGATGGCATTTGCTAAATGTTTTTTGCTTTATGCATAATGCTGTTATGCAGTTTTGCAAAAGCAAAATACATGTTCTCCCTATGAACACTTTCTGTTTTGGGATTTTTGTTTCAGCTACATGCTTTATTCATAGTTGGTTCACTTTAAGGTTAAGGTCAGTGTCCCCATTTAGAGTTAATGATAGGTCATTTATGTTTTTGATTAGAGCTGGAAGTTATGCAAAATTCAGTGCCTTGATTTTGCAGAAATTTCAAAGCATGCCATGGATGGAACCAGTGAAAAATATCAAAAGTAACAGCTTTAAAACAGATTTCCAGCTTCACAGACCAGAGATTGCATTAAAGTGATTTATTATTAGTAATTGAACACGCGATGTACTCTAACAAAGCCTCTCTATTTATTTAATCATCTTCACAGCCACACTGACTGTCATGCAATTCACATTAACCGAATACTACATTTTTAATTGAGCTATTATCTACAGATTATTTTTGTGCTGAATTCTTCAAAGGCTCTGAACTTTAGGGTGTGTTTTTGTTGCACTTAACTGCTTGTCCTTCGGTCATTAAACCAGTGTGTGCATTTTGTGTGTGTATGTGTTGTCTCAGACCTACGCTGACATGGAGACTCAGGGGTCTTCAGTCCCCCAGCTGCCAGATGAACCAAACAGCGAGCCTGGTCGCAGCTCTCCTATGCTTAACCCTGCTATTGCTAACTCTGATACTAACTCTGAGTCTGTCAGTCACAGCAGTGAGCTGCAGGTGTGTCACTCTTTACTGTCCTGCTCGTTTTGTTTCTGCCTCTGTTTTTTGTCCTTTTGTATCTGGCAAACATACAGCTTTATTGTTAGTAGCCTAATTGTATTGACAAGAACTATTTAGATGTATTATTTTGGTTTTAATTTTCCCCCATTATTATTTTGTGGTGAGAGTGTTGTGCCATTCCATCACACAAATGAACTTTTGTTTTCTCTGTGTCTCTGGTTTTGCTCTCTTCTGCCTTTTAACCTGTTCCTCGTTATGCAGGAATACCCTGATACTAATGGAAATGAGAATTTAAAGGAGGAAAATAGGTGGGTAACCAAATGGCTCTCAAATGGTGTCAAAAGGTTTTATGCCTATAATTTGTAGCTAACATTGGTTCATGTATGTTGTGCTGCAGACCACTTTCTTCCACTGAGAGCCTGCGACAGATCTCTCAGCAGTTGAATGGCCTGGTCTCAGAGGTATGAAATTACAGCCAGCTGAGTGTCATTCTGTATGTCTCTATCACACATTTTGTCATACAGTGTTAGGTTTTTAGCAAATACCCACATGTTTTTAGCAGCATGTACAAAAAAAAAAAAATCTGTTTTTGTAATGTGTTTCAGTTCAGAAACACATGAGCAGCATTAAACCAGCTTGATTTTTAAAAATTGGTTTGTTTTTAATTAGCCAACAATATTTTTTTGCCAAGTTTAATCTGATAGGAGTTGGGTGTTGACTTATTCAGAGCACACTATGAACTATTGGAAGGTCATTAATCTAGGTATCTTTGTCATTTCAGTCATCTGCTGCCTACGTGAATGGAGACAGCACACCCTCTGTCAGTGAAAAAGACCTGGAGGTAAGAAGGAACCCTAGTTTTTATATACTAATCTTTTCCCTGACTTTTTCTTTTTTATCTTTGACATTTCAAACCTTTGCTGGGACCAGTTGAATATTGTGTGATTGTGTTTTGATTTATAGTGAAGAAGCAGCAACATGTTAAAGGATGGGCCGGTATTAATGTACTGTGTCCTGAAAGGAGTTTTATTTAAACCACATCGTTGGAGAATGTTATGTTAACTTGTTGAAAAGTCAACTAAATTCAATTTTTTAATTCAGCTGAAATAGTTTATGTGCTACTGCTTCTCAACTGGCTAAATTGATCAGTTTAACAGCCAATATTTATTTAAACTATTATTTTCATCACTTTCCACTGTTGAAAGCCCCTTTTCACCCCCTGTAATTGTTATTATTTGCATCCATATTGATAATTCACATTTGAATATTTTTCCTCCTCCTCCTCCTCTATATTCTTTGTTTGACTTTTGTCATGTCACTATTATTTTTCTTTCCCGGATGCATGTGTGCACGTGATAGAATCAGAACCAGGAGCTGGCAGCCGCCCTGGAATCCAGCAAGCTAACAAACTCTCAGCTCAATACCAAGCTAGACCAGCTGGTAAGAAGCTGTGTGAATGCAGATTTGTGTGTGCACTTTTTGTGCTGTGGCATAAACTTTTTCCTTCCTCCTAATTTATTACATCTGTGCATGCATTGTAATTCATTTTGCTTTTTATATGTAACCAAATCTCAGAGTAAGTCATGCATGTTTCTGCTCCTCATTGTTTGTCCTTTGCACAAATTAACTTCCTGCTGCAAATACCTTTGTTTGTTCTTTTGGGCTGATAACCTGATGGCTGATGACTGATTGTAAGAGGTTGTCAAGCGAGTTTAGCACACTAGACGCTCAAAACCCAGAGATTGACTTAAGCATAAAAATGGAACATAACATTTTTGAGTTCGTAAAAACTAATAAATGCATCTTCTTTGAATTTTTTAATTAATATTTTGTTCATTTTGCAGGTGCATCAAACTCAGGAGCTCACAGATCAGCTTCAGAAGGTTTGAATTTTTCTGTGTCTCTGCGTGACCACGTGATCATTTCTGTCTCAAATTTCTTTTTCTGCTGAAACTAAAATGGTTGTTCGGAACTTTGTGTTTCCCTGCCCTCAGGAGCGAAGAGAATTTGAACAAAGATTCTCTAAAGAGCAAGGAGCTATGAGGGAGCAGTTACAGGTAATTTGCTTGGATTAGATACACATCAAGAGTTAGTGTTAAGTGCATTTTAAGTATTGTTGTGGTACTTTCATAATTGGAAAACCTGTAAATAAATAATGCATTTTAATGTGATGTTTCAGTGTTGGTTTGTGGTGTTCACCTTAATCACAGAACATCACCACCGCCTTTTGTTCCAACTCTCCACTTTATTGCTCGCATTGCCCAGCACTGTGCTAAAAGACAAAATAAAGAGTTTATTTTCTATATAGGTGTTATGTAGTTTTACCAACAATCAAATCAAAGACAACACGGAGTCTCAAGAAAAAATTTTTTTTTAATTGATCTGTCATCTCCTAGGTTCATATCCAGACCATTGGTATACTGGTATCAGAGAAATCTGAGCTACAAACAGCACTACAATACACACAACAGGCTGCGCGACAGAAAACAGGTGTGTGTTGTTCAGCAACTTTGGTCAGAACTTACCCCCCCAGCAGTTATTTGATTGTGCATGCATGCGTGTGTGTCTTACTTGCTTTGTGTTTTTATGTTGCAGCTGAGGCAGAGGACCTACATAACCGTCTGCAAACAACAAAACAAAGAGTCTCAGAGCTGGAGCGAACTCTCTCCACTGTCTCCACACAGCAAAAACAGATTGAGAAGGTAACATGCTGCTAAATTAACAGGGAATCAGACAGATACAGAATTAAGATTAAGAATGTTATAAATTAGATAATTTTCTGTTAGTCTCATTTTATTTTTTGTGTACAGCACAACAAAGAACTCGAAAAGGAGAGAGACAATTTGAGGCTCGAAGTGTTAAGGCTCAAGTGAGTGATTTATGTCATTATACAAAAATAGTTTCCTTTTATACCACACAGTACAAAAGTATTGTTTGCAGTGATTTTCAGCATGGCATTTCCATTTCTTTACAATGTTTGTGTGTTTATAGCAATTTGAGTGAGGAGACAAAGCAGCAGAGCTCAGAGCTTTCAGAGCAGCTAAAGCTGAGTACACAGGATAATGCTGCAATGAAGCTAGAGGTGAACGATCTTCACAAGAGGCTGGAGATAGCTGAACTCATGTTACAACAGGTTTGTAGAACAGAAACACCCATTTACTTTTCTTTTTTTTTGTAATTGAAAATGTGGAACAACTAAAAAAGCCTATATTTTGGATTAGTTTAGTTTGTATGCCAACTCTATGGAAGCCACCACAATCAGAGAAGTTGTTTGCAGTACTTGAGTTGCATTTATGGTTCTTACCGTAGTTAAAGAAACAAGAACGCTCCCACATCTTTAAAGAATGCTGTCACTGACTTTATTGTTGACATCTCCAACAAACTGTGTATGTAAATGGCATTTTTCTACATTATAATTCACCTTTTGTTCTTATGATTTCTCTCCAGTGCTCCAGTCAGTCAGATCCCACCAGTGCCAATCAACAATATAATTTACTACTGGAAGAAAAACAGCAGCTGCAGGCACACAGTCACCAGGTCTAAAAGGGTTCTCTTACTATTGTCTATATATGATATTGTTTGTAAATTCCATCTTTATATTTCAAATATTTTACATGTAGTACAATGATATTTATCCGTTGATTACCGGTAATCATTATCATCATCATCATCATTTCATTGCTCAAGGTTCCCCTTTCAATCTGTGTTGTTGTAGCTTATGGAGTCCATTACATCACTACAGACTGAGAGGGACCATTATGCAGAGCAGATACAGGAGGAGGGCCGTGTGTGGAAAGACAAGACGGAACAGCTGCTAACACAGGTATATTCACATCAAGCTGGACTTTGTTTGGCGGTTGTCCTTTTGTTTTTTGTACTAATTTATTTGAGTCAATTTCTGTCTATGAAGGTGTCTTTGGTGGCAGAGGAGAGGGACAGAAACATCAACAGAGTCCATGAACTGGAAGCCAGTGTTGCAGAGCTAAAGAATGCAGCAGGTGATGTTTCAAAGAGTGTGTGAAAGTGGTTTGAATGGTCAACAAGTCTAGAAAAATGCTAGATATGGACGGTCTATTTACCACTTCATTCCTTTTTTAGATAAGATGATATTTTGGAAAGTAAAGAGTTCTTGTGCACAAATAGTTTTACACATGGATAACTCTGACTTCGTTTTGCTTTTTTTTGCTTTTTGTTGAATTTTTGGTTATTTGATTCTAAATATAGAAATGTCCTTGTTAAGAACAGCAAATTTGTTTCTAATGGAGGTGCTATAATGAGCTGCATATGTTAATGTGGTCAAGCATGTACGTATTAGTTCTGGATGAGAACTAATTCACAATGGGCATTTCTATGTCCCATTCTTACATATCATTTTCTTATTTCCTCTTAAAGTTATTTCTTTATTCTTGTAAATCCATAGCTTTCCTCTGTTTGTTTGTTTGTTTGTTTTTTGTTGTGGTATACTTACTTTACTTTGATATTCAAGACTTATTCTAAAAATATGGTGTCTTGTACAATGGTGTGCAGATACATAAAGTACTAAAAGTCTGGAAGAACCTTTCCATCAACTTTAAATGATTTGATGAGGTCTAAACAGACATTTTTAAGCTTCTGGTTGCATCAGCTCTCTATATCGAAACTGCATTCTAAATATCATTAATGGGATTATTTAGTTAAAATTGACTTAATTTCTGTCATGTTTTAATAGCTGCATTATTGGCTGAGAAGGAAGCTCAGGAGAGTTCAGAACCTCAGCTCTCAGGCCCTTCAGAGACAGAGGTGGCTTTGCAAGAGGCCTTCAAAACTCTGCAACAGGAAAAAGAGGCAGTCATCGCACAATACCAGGCACAGGTGTGCTTCACTCTGTTTGCTTCAAATATATTGGTGTATAACAGAACTGGATATTCAGAATTTCACAAGCAGCATACTTTTTTTTTGGTGAATGTTTGATAGATTGTCCAATCTGGACTGAAGCTTTTCTAATCATTCTGTTACACTTCTCCCAGCTACGCGATAATGAGCAGCTGAGCCGCCTGTGTGCAGAGCAGGAGACTCGTCTGGGGGAGATGGAGCAGCAGGTGGAGAGCCGAGCAGAGGAGGCAGAGGACCGGCGGCGCATGTTGGAGGATGTTCAGTCTGATAAGGCCACGATTAGCCGTGCTCTCACCCAGAACCGTACACTGAAGGATCAGCTTGCTGAGCTACAGAACGGTTTTGTGAAACTGGTGCGGCCAACTCTCCTGGTCCATCTGTTCTTTTTAAAATGCCACATGTACTTCGCCTACTTTTTTTTTTTGGGCTTATATCCATATTGACTTATATCCACCTTCATATCCATGATGAAGGTTGATCTATCGTATACTTTAGCTTGTCATTTTAATGTATCTTGCTGTTCTAATGCCACTTGCTTTGTTAGTTTTGTGTCCTAAATCATTTTCCTGTGACTTTTTTAAAATGTCTTTTAGTGTCATTGACTCCTTTAAAATAGTTACTAAATATTTTTAAAGTGCATTTTTAACCATAGTGCTTGCTCTGAAAGTTGTATTTTGAAGCCACATGTCATGAACTTCCTTTTTCAGACTAATGAGAACATGGAGCTGACCACGGCCATCCAGTCAGAGCATCATGTAAAGAAGGAGTTGGCTCGTAGAATGGGTGAACTGCAGGAAGAGCTGCACAATGTCAAAGAACAGGTATCACATAAGAAGCTATATGCAGCAATGCTTATGGATTTTACAGCATTTTCATAATACCAGATGACAGCATCACCAAGAATAAATCAGCTGCTGTTCTTCTTTAAATTCCCTCCCTTGTGCTCGGTTCCAGCTGGAGTTAAAATGCCAGGAGACTCAGGGTCTTGTGGAGCAGAGGGACCAGGTGATGGCCCATCTGCAACAGTACAGTGCTGGTTACCAGGCACTGGCCTCAGAGAGGGAACAGCTCCATCAGCAGTATCTACAGCAGAGTCAGCTCATGGACCGGCTGCAGCATGATGAAAGCCATGGCCGCGCACAGCTGGAGATCAGTCACAGTCAGCTTAAACAAACACAGGTAAGTCTTTCACCAATAGGACCGTAGTCATATAAAAAGTTCATAAACAGTTTGTCTTGGACAGACTGCTCCAAAGAGTTTGTGGGTAGTTTTTACTGAAGAAGACATATAATATAACTGTCAAGATTCTGCTGATAACATAACCCATCCCTTTCAGTCCTATTTTATTTCTCCATGACACACTTTTGATCTGTGTCTTTTCTCCTCATGCAGGAGCATTTGGAGCAGTTGGTTCAAGACAATGAGCAACTGAAAGCTGAAGTGAGGGAGCTGCTCAACAGCTCAGCACTTGTGACATCATCCAGAGATCAGGGTAAGGTTCTTCATCTTCATTCTTCGTCATGGTATGTTGTTTCTTTGTGCTTCATTATTCCTTCCCTGTGGCTACTTAACTTATCGTACCGTCTGCATGAGTTTGATCTTTGTAATTGGAACCAAGTTGCTTCTTCAAGAATAGATTCATTGTTATTATCAGTGTTTTGAGCTGCAAAATGTATTTCTTTAACTTTGTCTGATGTGAAAGAAAAAAACGGAAAGTTATGCTCACAGAAACCACTCCTTTGTTGAGTAAAACCTGCAGTAACAGCCTGACGTGGCGATTTCACAGGAGCAGCTGGCCATGAAATGCTAACTTCCAGTGTAAACAAAGCTTTTTTAAATAGCTTCATTCACAGAAAGTGAACATTTCTGTGCTTACATCTCCAACAAATCAGGGTTATGTCCATTATCTTGATAGTTTTATGTTGTCATTTAGGTGATGGAGTGGAAAGCCAGTCCATGCACGAGAGCCCAAAGAATTCGTCCTCCATAATTATCCCAGAAGACTTTGAGAACCAAAAAGAAATGGTAAGGAGGGGCCAGGTCTGGTTTTATTTAAGAAAAAAAAACACATTTTCCAACTGTTCATCTTTCCTTTGTCAATTGCTACACATCTTTAAGCTCCAAATTAAGAGTTTACATTTCCACATCCAGTGCTAGTATGAAGGATCTGATGGTCATATGACAAATGATTGCAATCTTATAAGAATGATTTAAAATGCATACACCCATAAATAAATCAATAACAACTTTGGATGAGTATTCATATCTTGAGTTTACTTGAAATGAGCAGAGAGATGTTATTTGTGCAATGGATCGTGGCTCTGATTCATTGTTTTCTTCAGCGTCCCTATTTACACTTCATGATCCCCAACAGGAGGATTTTATCCGTGGAGCTTTGGTGCAGCTGGAAGCTGAAAGAGACGAGGCCAGGATGCAGCTGGAGGAAGAGCATAGGCTCCACATGGCAGCCCGGCAACAGGCTGCAGTTGCCCTCAGATTTGAGCAGCAACACCACATCAACACACCAGCTCATGAACACCATCACAGTCTGGAGCAGCACAGTCACTGTGACCACAGCAATGAGCATTCAGGTTTGTGTACAGGTGATTTTACAATTAAACTGTATGGCGCAACAAGTGTGTGTAAATGGTACGTGTTAACTTTCTGTGATCATTCCTGAAATACTGAAAACCCTGCTCTGTCCTAACCAGAAGGGGGAGTGCCAGTGGAAGTACATCAGGCCCTGCAAGCTGCCATGGAGAAACTTCAGCAGCGGTTCACATCTCTCATGCAGGAAAAAGCTGACCTGAAGGAGCGGGTGGAGGAGCTGGAGCACCGCTGCATTCAGTTATCTGGAGAGACCGACACCATAGGTCAGAGAGGGCCCCACAGCAGAGGCTTTTTCTATTGTAATGAAAATGTATTGCAGGTGTATGCCAGTGAATTATCATAAAGTAAAGGTTTATGTCTGTTTGGGTTTCAAGGGGAGTACATCGCCCTGTACCAGAGTCAGCGGGCCATCATGAAGCAGAAACACCAAGAGAAAGAGCAGTACATCAGCATGCTGGCCCAGGACAAAGAGGAGATGAAGGTTAGGTTTAAGTCAAAGTTAGAAAACCCCATCACAAACATTACACTGCAGCCCCTGTAAGACTTCTCCTTCTCTCACATTATAGTACAGTAGTGTCATGCTGTCGTTACCAGGTGATTCAGTGTTCTGTGTGAAGCTAAAAAGTGTCTCGGTGTCTATATTATCAATCAGGCAAAGCTGGCTGAGCTGCAGGATCTTGTGATGAGGCTGGTGGCCGAGAGGAATGACTGGTACAACCGTTATACTGGAGCTGTGAGCGGTATGGGAACCGCAAACCCCGACCTGCTTCCTGTTGGGGAGGATTGCACTCACTCCGAGCAGCAAGGACACACCGACTCCGAACTTAGCGGTGTCACTGGAGCAGGTAGGCATGAAATGGAGGGATTGTTTTCCCTGTCATGAACCAAACTGTGTGACTCTTTCTGTGCTAAAGGCATGAACGTCTGAGTCTCCGATTTGTTCACGTCATTATGTTGTTTTGGTGTTTTATATCTTCTCCTCGGTGTATAATACTCACAGAGGTTTTATAGATAACTGAAGGGAATATTAATCCTTTAGTAAAAGTGAAGACCTTAATAATCAATCTGTTGTTGCTTCTACTCGTTTCTGCCACAGAAGCCTTGGAGCTTGTCCATCAGGCTGGACCCTCCACAGGTCTAGAAGCTGGTTCCTCCCAGACAAGATCATCTGGCTCTGTTCAGACTGAATCCAGTCCCAAAGAGGACTGTACCGCTAAGCAAATAATGCAGCTGCTCCATGAAATCCAGAACCCACAGGGAGCACTGCGATCACACCCCTTCTCCGGGGAGAACCCCTGCATCCCGTTCTTTTACCGGCCTGATGAGCAGGATGAAGTCAAGATCCTGGTGGTGTGAGGTGTGACTGTGACTGAGGCCCCCGCGTCTTCGAGTGAGCACGAGAGATGTTGGATATGTCGCGAAATGTGGAAAATTGACCACATTTTGTGTCTTATTATTCATACACACGTCTTTAGAAATTGACATCTCTAAAAAGAAAAAACTGGTCTTTAATGTAAATAAGTCTTTTGTCCAGCTTCATGGAAATGTTCCCTCTTTGTTCTGGGTGTCAGCACTAATGTGAGTGCGTGTGAAATGAAAGACTTTTGTTTCTTTTTTCTTTTTTATATCACAGAGTGGAGATAATCAGTATTCCTAAATGCAATTTGATTACTCTCCTGATCACAATTTTGAATTCCCTTCTCACACGTGCAATAAAGGGGTTCTATAGTCTTTCCCCTCGCTGATAAAGTACTTAAAGAGCTGTTATGAATTAGCCAATTTTGTGCAACCTTGTTCAAGTGCAAACCTCAGTTTTAAGTCACTGTTCACATGCCAAAAAAAGGCATGTTTGAATGTAAAAAGGCAGATATTTAAAAGTGTGTGAAATCTGAAGAGAAGTGAGCAAAGTGGATTGAAAGAGGATGCTTGGCTGGGTAGTCTAACTAAGAAATACAGAAAGATGTTAAGTTAAGTTAACAAAAGAATTTTGTGCACATTGAAGCTTTTAAACTGTAGACTTTTTTCTGCATTGAAGTATATGAGTTGCACAATTAAGTTCAGGAAGATGAAGGTGGATGTTTCTGATTGGTACTGTTCCTAAAACTACCTTCTTGTTTTTCTTCTGTTCCATCAAACACTGAAACAAACCACATATTTCTACACTGCATCATGTTCAAAGATTGTAAAGCGTTTTTTTTTGTTGATGTTTCTCACCTTAACTCGGAGAAGTTATAACAATTCCAGACTGATGGGTGATCCCATTCATTGAGGAAATTTAAAGACCGCAAGGAGAAAAAAAAAAAAGAAAAGGAATTAATTGGAATATTTTCCCACACTGTCACTGAGGTAAATGATGGGCTGTGCACCGTCTCTCACATTGTCCCTTTGAGTTGGCCTCATTTCTCTTCGATGTTAAGGTACCATTTTTGGAGAGCACTGTTAGTAACTACAGGTTGTTCGGACTTCTTACCTGCAGTTAAGCGTCGGGTGCTCGGGGGCATTCGGTTGGCCTCGTCACAGACTAGGGTCGTACTTCCCTGACCCATCTCACATTTATTTGTCTTCCTCACTAGAACAAAATTTCCTTTTATGGGATATTTGACGTGGTAAACAAATAGATGTGGTCAGTGAGAGCCTCCTCTTCCCTGTTACATTCACTTGTGGCCCTTCATATCAAAGATTAATTAACGCACATCTGTAACAACTGGACTGTGTGATGGCGGACCGTGAGGGTGTGTGTGTGTGTGTGTGTTTGTGTGTGGAGGAGCATGTGGAATCCAGACTGATTCTTCCTCAGCCAAAGCTGCATCTGTTGTACTTTTTTTGTTTTTTGTAGAGTTCTATCTAAACGTGTGATTGCACTAAAACTGTATAAAGTGTGTAACTCAGCATTGTCCTCTCTGGCTGGTTGGACAGCAATGTTTCTCATTCAGCCTCTGAGCTTCAGTGATCAGGGGGAATCCTATGAAGCTTCATATCTGGGCTGAAGATTCCAGTGAATTTAATTGAAAGAGTCCGAGTGTGTGTGCTGTATGGACCCCCATAGGGTGAACATGATGTTCAGATAGGGACAGAAAGTAAAGTTAGAAGATTTGCTTAAAAAAGTCAGTACTTCCAAAGACGAGGGACCAATTGGGTTACAAGAAAATAACTCTGCCTTTCAAAACTGGTGATTTAAACTCATCAAAAGTTTCTTCAACACATTCTGTGCTTGTTTTGGCTAAGAACATTTGACTTTGTTGGGTATTAGAAAATAAATTAGAATAAAAGAGAATCACAAGATGAGATCTGAAGTTATCTGTTGTCTTTGTACAAGCGGAACGCTGTGAGGAAGGGGCTCGTGCTTATAAATGTTGTTGAGAAGACCCTCTTCCTTTACAACTTACAGACTGATGGAGGTCTTTTTCATCTCATTTAAAGGTTTCTGAAAAGTGATATCCTCTCTTTTATCTTCATTTATTTAACACTTATTGTTTATTACTCAAAATGCCAGAGCAGAATGCAGACGTGTCAAATCCGGGCTGAAGTGTGTTGTTTGTGCTCTGTGAGGTCTTGGTAAAGTGAGCGGCATCTCATTTTTGTCTTGTTTTGGGTTCTCTTTTTCTCGTGTTCTTCACTTTACATATTTTGGGAGTGGTCAGACTAAGAAGTAAATACACGTTAAAATTTGTAGTGTTTTTTGGGGCGACTTGTAATATAACAAAACAATGCGATGAAATGATATCAGACGCTTTCTGAATTACTGCTTATGTTATGCAAGGTGGAAGCAAGGACAAAGCATTTATTGTCTTTACTGTAAACAGGTGGTGTGTATATAGTGTAACTGTGTAACATACTGTATATTCATTATGCCTGATGTATGTGAGAGGAAACAGCTGCTCTGCCGCGCTTTATGGCAGTGCAGATGTGTGTGTATGTTCATGCAGAGTTAGGGTGTTTACGGTTACTGACTGGCTGTGATTTAATACAAATATTGACAAAAAAAGAACATATTCTATTTATTTGAAATGAGTTAGTATTCGAACTAATCAGTTTTAATATAAAGTAGAGGTGAGTGGAAGATGGGGATGAAGGATAATTGAGAGAGCGGAGTGCTGCTTCTGACAGAAGCTCTGTTTTGTTTTTTGTTATTTTTATTTTAGTAATATTTTCTCTTTCTCCTGAATAAAACTGATTGAGCAACCTAAGCCTTGTGGATCTCTTTCTTGTTTTTATACTCCATTCTTCAGCACTTTGGTTATTTTTTATCTTGGTCTTATTTATTTTATGATCCTTAATAATTCAGTTCCAAGCTACACTCTCACTCCTATTTGTAAGTTTGAATTACTTTCAATAAAGTACACAATGGGTAATATTCGAAGCCTAATTTCTATGCTTTGTAAATATTATTTTTTAACCCCTATTTAAACCCCACACAGTGACAGTATGTATTTTTGTCTGAGTCAGTGAATTCTTTAAAACTCTTTGAAGTTGATCCTTTCTATGGCCATAAAGAGGGAGGAAAAAGAAGAAAAGGGACTTCAGTCGTTACAGTACACAGGAGACTTTAATGTGTTGGAAGAGCGCAGCAGTCCTTCAGGTTCATGTTACAGTTTCCTCCACATCAGTTGGATGCAGGAGCTGGCTGCTGCACAGGCTCTCACACTCACACACCGTCCCTCCCTGCTCCTCTACAAACACAGAGGGACAAGAAACAAAAACACCCTTTCTGCTCAAAGCAGAGGAATTGAACAACCTGTCAACATTCATGTACATCACTTTTTTTTTTGCAAGATTTTCATATCATACACATACTCAATGTATTTATAATAATTTAAATATTCAGCTGTTTCAGACATTGCGGACTATTTTCTCTAAACAGTGGGAGTACAAGTTCGATAAGATGCACCACACATATACATAATAACACAATCAAGATAAGTCCATCGTAAACTATTTACCATTAAACAATAAGTAGAATATGTTTTGCTGTGTTTTCTTGACACATGTGGAGCACAAATATGCACAAAGATGGGTTTGGAGGAGTGTATTCGCAAATGGCTAGAATAATACGACAGACGTGTGTGTGTGTGTATATATATATGTGTGTGTTTGTGTGTGTGTGTGTGTGTGTGTGTAAGGTTGGTGGGTCTGTGTTTGGGGTGAAAATACAACACGTCACACTGACAGCAGAGTTCGGTGGAAGAAAAGTCCGGTGGTTTGAAAAGCAATAAGGAGGAGAAACACACGGAGTGGGCCAGTTTAATGCATAGACCGATGTTGCTTTTTTTTTTGTTCTCACTCACCCCCGTGACCACTGAGAGGAGGAAGAAAGGGACAAAAGAAAAAAAGAAGAAAAATCAGATCATCAACAGGGGTATGATGCTAAATGTTTGCCTGCCAGCATGAAACATTGACGCATAACAGAATCAAAGCTGACTTGGCGCCACGAGGCTGACCTTCCCATAATAGGCACCTCTGTCTCTCTGAACCTAAAGGATAACAGCAGCTTTCTATCGGTGGCAGGATGCGATCCCAGCCATGCATGCCTTTCCCAGCAGGTTCTAATTCTTGAGTAATGCCATGCAGTCCTCCACTGGATGTGCCTTGTACTGTGTTTTGTATGTTCTACTGTTCTACTGTGTCTCCACCAGATGGAGCAGAAGTGTTTCCTTGAAGGGGACAGGAGGAGGAAGAGGAGGAGGAGGAGAATGCAGTGTTTTTAAGAAAAGACTGAGGAACCGTTATTTTTGTTGCATAGGTTTGGTGGATTACAGACAGCAGAGTGACGTGACAACGACTAAAACAGGTAGATTTAACAGTTACACCACCACTCGCTGAAAGCTGCAGGACAGTGAAATGATTCCACCGTTCTGTCCCTCCTTCTGTCGGAGAGAACGAGGATGAGGAGGGTAAGGACTGATGAAGAGCAGCAGCAGCAGCCTCTGTGTGTCGAGATCCAGGATTCCAGAGTCCCTCATTTCCTGTCTTCCTCCCTCCAGTGAGTGAACATGAGTGACGGGTGGTGCAGTCTGCTTTACAGGTGATGGTCGATGGTGGGAAATTGATACTGGTTCTAGAGGATGGGGGGGGGTGGGAGGGAGACTGGAGAGGTTTCTTCTAAGAGTCGAATGGAGGCAGGGGGCTCTCGGGGCGAGAGGGACCACCCTTGTTTGGCCGGCTGTTTTAGTAAATCAGAAAGTAAAGCAAGACTTTATTTGGGAGAATGAAAAGTAAAAAGAGAAACCCTGAAATCTTGAAAGCGAGGGACACTGAACAAATTAAAGAAAATCTCGAAAAAAAAAAAACTGTGTCATTTATAAAATACACCTTTATGTTGAATTTATGTAAAAAGCATAGCTCTTCATATCAGATTTTTCGTATTAAAGTCCATTGGTAATTCATTGTATGGGATTTAAGTGTCCTCGCCTATAATTTCAGGGGACCAAAGTTATGGATTAAAAGCTGAATACGGCAGGGGGACACTGAAATATGTACGATGCAGTTCATGTGCATCATCTCCCTGAAAGAAATACTTCATATACAGCTTGTAATTGTTTGACTGTAAAGCCTGACATACTGAAAAGGAAGAAAAACATTCACTTGCATTTCTACACAAGGAGCGAAGATTCATCAAAGCTTTAACGATTCTTTAACATGCATTAAATAACGTTTTTTTTCTACTGTTTGCATGGACGTTAATTGTCCTTTCCAGTTATTCAACATGATCAGAATTATATTCTGCTGCTAAGTGTTGCATTGCAAACATTTTTCTTTGATTGTCAGCATGACAGACAAAAAAGGTGTTGCACCTATAATATTGAAGTACATCTTTTGTGTATCTATTGAAGTATTTCTTTAAAAACAGAGCCAACAAAAGAAATACATAAAGGAGACCACTGGGTTGTTCATTATAATAAGAGCTAAATAAGGGAATATGAATTAGAAATGTAAGGCATGGCATCATGCTAACTCTGCCAATGCCTGCATCTTGGATTTAAAGGAGACATACTGCATGGGTTTCTTTGCGCATATTTTACGTGTGATGCCTATTTAATTAACTCCACATTGTCTACAGTTAAGTTTTAAGAATATATGGTTCTAATGTCAGTCATGCAAATGTGTTTCAAGTATTTTGCATCGCTGTGTGAAACAGAGGGGGGAGGGGGGGGGGGGGGGGGGGGGAAAAGAGAGACATGGCTTGTTGTAAAGAAGGAAGAAGGGGGGAACCGGCAGAGGTCGGATGAGGCAGGAGACGACAGGAGGGTGGCTCTGTTGTCTGTGGGTCTCTCATCCAGAGGAGGGACAAACGGTTGGAGGGGGGAGGAAGGAGCTCAGAGGTCTAGTGAGTTGGAGAAGGTGGGGGTCTCCGACTGGAGTGGATACACAAACACAGGGACATAAACTAACATGAGAAGATCTGTTGGATTAATCATCGGAGTGGTCGATTTCTGGTTAAACTCTCTTCGATGTCTGAGTCATACTTTATTTTCACTGACACAAACATGTACAGTAACGATACCAAGAGAGTGTGCCCTCTTTCAACTCTTTTCAATTTTAAGCATCAGGACATAAAAAAAAGCAAATCTGCTTCCTAAAGTCTCTTCATTAGTTAAATACAACCACGGATGAACACCAGCACACATCGCATTACATACTGTCATTAGTTAGTCATTAGTTTTTTCTAAAAAACTCAACCATTTTCTCCAAACAAGCTGTGCATTCTGACCAAACTTTTCCAGTTGGGTCTCCTCGGACCAAAGAACATTGTTCCAAAACCTAAATTGCAACTGTGTTTCCCCCTTGGCATCAGCTTTACACCAAGCATACAACAAACCAGAGCAAACTAACAACTGCATGGTTGCTCATTATCAATCTACAATTTCAACAAAAAAAGACCAAGGTTTGTTTCATTTTTTCATCCTGTACTGATGTGTATAAGAGTGTTTTCTTCATCACCTGGCCGGACAACACACGGCTCAAACCTAAAGCATGACCAGCATCCCCAAGATTTCAGGTTCCTGTAATGTGACTATGAAGCACCTTATATTCAACACTACAACTTATCAATAAATCCTGGCACATATCTTTACCCCTTCAGATAAAGACACACACACAGCTGTTATGTCTATGCTTATTTCTTATAGAACATCCTTCACCAGTTGGAGCTATGAACTGAGAAAAATCCCTTTTTCCTCTAGTCCACTTCATACATGCACAAATCAGTATGAACTCAGTCCATGCTCATGCTTAGTAGAAAAGGGAAATGTCATGCAACACAAAAGGTGACCTGTGAGAAGTATGGGAGGCTGATGATGATCGTGAAGACAACAAAGGCAGACAGTTCCCAACATACCAGAAAAATTAGTCTTCACTGGTCAGTGACAGTGATTCTGCAGAGGAAGCCGTAGTGTGAGAGACACAAGTGTAGGAAACCAGAGAAAGATGGAGAAAAGGAGCAGAAGAGCACAAAACAAGTGCAAGCGATTACAGGACCGGCCAGCGTTGCAGGTGCTCGGCTCTTTAGGACCAGAGCTCAAAATACGGAAACTCAAATAGGTGCTTAGTCGCCACTGTATATTGATATTCTCCATTTTCAAATGTTTTTTTGTTTGGGAGAGCTTCACTCAGCAACGTTAGGGTCCTCTACAATACATAGATGATCAGCTAGTCTGAGAGTGGGTTAAAATAAGGTCACAAACACAATTCAAGCACAACCACCGAACAGAAGCACGTGCGGTTAAAAAAGACCAGAGAGGATCAAAAGTTTTCATGTGCAGCAGTGAGAGTGGGTTCAAAGGATGGACTGCAGGCATGGTAATGATGCTTGAGAGTGTGTTCAAAGTTTATTTGTGGTAGAGAGATACCAACAATGAAGCAGCCCAATGTTCACTCGGACGGAAATAATCCGGTCATTGTGGTTTTCTTCTTCCCTATAATGTATCTACTTAGTATTCGCTATCAGTCTGGCTGTCTATACGTCTGTTTTCTAACACAACCAGCGCGTTCTAGTTCCATTTACCTCCTTCATCACTTCCTCCAGGTGCCTTTACATCCCCCTAACATCAAAATATCAAAACATATAGTGTGAATGTCAGTTTCCTTGTAAGATCAACCAGGAGCATCCTCCCTTTTGGCAGCTGATGACCGAAGGCGATGGCTCTCGACTCTTTACTCACCTGGGCACACTTGGGGGCGCACGGTTTGGGCGAGAGGGCACATTGGGCGGGGGCCCACCGTGGGGGTCGGGAGAAGCTCCAGGGCGAGACGGAACAGGCGGTCCCCCAGCAGGAGGAGGTCCGGGTGGAGGTCCACGGGAGACTGGGCGACCCGGTGGTCCCGGCGGAGCCCGCCGGTTTGGAGTCGGACTGGTGGCTGGAGACCTGGCGATGAAAGCAGAAAGGACGATTAGAAAAACATATAAAAAATACCATACCTCATGCTATTCTTTACCCAAAGCCAAGATGAAACCGTTTAGAAAATATCTGAGCAATGAATAATTGTCCTAGATATGTAAAATAAGGACCAGAACTGACAAGGAGACAGATTCAGTCTCTTTTTTTAAAGCTTTTTCCAGGCTAAACAGATGTAAGTTATGCGGTGTGTGGAGAAACTGTCGGAGCTCATCGGAGTTAGCCGTCAGCTGGCCATGCGGGCGGCTTACCTCCCTCCAGAGCCACTCCGCTGCACCTGCAGCCAGGAGTCGTCCACAGGCGGGGGCATGGCAGTGGTCACGGTGGTGGTGCTGATGTCGCCGATGATGCTGAGGGCCTCGCGCAGGGCGTGGTACATGCGCAGCATCTCGTCGCGGTGCTGCGCCTGCTCCTGAGACTCCTCCATCAGACAGTTCTGGTCGCCGCACGAGTACAGCTGGGCCAGCAGCTCGGCGTTGATGAACTCCTTCGTCTGGACACAGATTCCACAGACGGAAGAGTTTTCACACACTCTTTTGGTCAACGGTTGTCGCGATTGTAAGCCGCATGGCTGGACCCCAGTAGGGACTCACGTTGTTAATCATGAGATGCATGATGGTCTTGGGCATCAGGTCACGCACGGTCTTGTTAACGATGGCCATGTAGGAGTCCACCAGGTTGCGAATGGTCTCCACCTGCCGCTCCAGCTGAGGGTCCATGCTGTGCATGAAGTTATCGGAGCCGTTTTCATCCCCACCATCGCTCTGTGGAGACGCAGAAATTAGGAAACCCTGCAGGAGCGTCTTTTTATCTGAATATTGTGTCAGCATATGAATTAGAAAGCCATCATACTCTTTAACTAAAGGTCCCTTTTAAGTCATGTGAGCACAAGAGGAAATGTTACACATTTACAGCAGCACAAAATCCCTTTACTGGCCTCATGTCTCTGCAACGTCTGTGCTGCATAGGAGCGCGACAACAATGGAAGCAGGCTTATGTTTAAAATTATGCTGATGTAATCTACATCTAATAAACTTCCATCTACACCGAGTGGTGAATCGGGTTCATTTAACCTTTATACTGGTCACAGAAAAAAAATAACTACATGTGAACATCACTCAATGTACTGGTCTTAAGCGACATAAAAAGTCTTTTTTTATGTCACCTTATAATAGTGTGTTTCTGTATGATCAAGCAGTGGTGTGTCAAAAACATTAATTCTTTGGAAAGTGTTATAAAACATGTAATAAAACAGTAGGACAAAAATCCATCTATGCAAAACCAGCCACTTTATGCTTGTAGCTTTGCTGGCACAGAGCCTTTTACCAGTGTTGTATCAAGGATTACCAGAATGATTTAATTACAATTATAAGAAAAATTAATATAAACTAAATTACCCCATATTCACAGTGTGAAAAAGTGCAGCCTTAGTTGCTTTTTAATGATTACCATGATTACCATCACCCAAATTAAATTAAATGTAATTAAGCACAATTAAAGAATTTCTTCTAGATTAAAATCAATTTAAAAACATGAATATGATTACAAGAGTAGGAAATAGATAATATCATACCTTTCCCTCCTTCTCCTATGAGGGGAAAACAGCAATGAAAGAATAAAAGACATTGAGAAGGACAGACAACATGACACACAACATTAAAATGACACAAAACTTCAACAACTAATAGACAAAAACAATCATTTAATCGCTCTGTTAATATGATCTGGACAAAAAGGGAAGGATAAAAGTTTCCAGGGTTTTTCCACATCGTAAATGTGGTTTTAAATATAATCATACTTCAGCTGAAAAGCTGAAAGAGGAAATAGCCCCTTGGAGTCGTGCTCATCTGTTGAATTCTCACCGTGACACGTTCAGGATAAACTCCAGCTCTGAGGAAGGAGGCCTTCCATGCATCAATATCTTCCTGACTCTCACAAGCCAACTCCAGCTGACGGTAGTCCTTATACACATTTCTGTGGACACATAACAATGTTAAGAGGTGCCATCTGGGCAGCCACAAAATTTCTAATAGATATTTGAAGTTTCACACCTTCATTTCACAATCTCAACAAATATAACTCTAACAGAATTAGAACTGAACTAAAAGTATAGGAGGAAACTATTTAAGCTCAGGCAACAATAACCTGTATCTATGTCATGCAGGTTCTGTTCTAACTTTAAATGCCAGCGATGTGTGTTCCAGCAGTTTGCTGGTGTACACTTTGTATTCAATACCTTTGTTCCGTGTTGAAGAGGGCGAAAATATGCTTGCTGGACATGAAGCCCTTCTCCACATCCCGCAGCTTCAGGTTATCCACCTGCAGCATGTACTTCTTCTCCTTCTCCTGCAGAGGGCAAAACAGTGACACACTGCTGAGCACAGAGGGCAACGGGGCTGCTAGTGGAGGAAGGAGTTTGGTGGTTTAAGGTTTAAAATGATTCCCGAGATTTACAGCTGCACTGACACTGCCAGATCACAATGGACTGTTACATAATCATTATGTTGGGCCAGGAAGTCGGAACAAAAGTGCCTACAGAATGTTTAAGTGAGCAGTTGAATGAAGCTGTTGCATTTGTGAAAGAAGCACACGGAGAGACCGAGGCGAGGAAAAAAAGAAAACGAAAAAAAGATTGGGTGAACCTAAAACAAGGAAGAAAAAAGAAAAGGGAGAATGGGAAAGTCGAACACAGTCTGTGGTTTTGATTACAGTTGTGCAGAGTCAAAAAAGGGGAAAGGCAACAAATGAGAAACACACACATACTGAGCGGCCGCGCTCCACTTTAGAAATCTCTTGTACTTGTAAATCTGCACGCAACATGTGACATACAGACGCCAAGCTATTTATGAATCAGAGAACCTCAAAGTTAGTCACCTCAGTCTGACACATTCTTAGAGTCTAATTGACGCGCGCACACACATGTGTGGCTGAACTTCTTAAAATCTATTGTTAGGCACCTAAACCTCTTTACAGGTGTGAAGTTGCATGTGTGTGAATGTTTTACTACGCAAAGGAAAACAACAGTTAACAAAATTACTGTCCAAAAATAGCTTAGGGTGAGTGGGTTTCTAAAAACATACTCTAAACACACACATATACACGCACACAAACACACAGCCATGGTTGAAAACAGTACCTTTTAAGTGTAGTCTGTAACTAACCTTAAAACCATCTGGATGGCTAACCACAGGACTGCCCTGCCCAACCCGTGTATGTGTGTGTGTGCGCGTGTGTGTGTGTGTGTGTGTGTGTGTGTGCGTGTGTGTGTGTGTGCGCGCGCGTGTGTGTGTCAGAGAGGGAGAGACACAGGGGATTTCATGTGAGACCAAAGTCCTTCATCAATGGATTTATGACCTGAGCAGCCAAATGGTCATATCCCCTAAATGCATGTAAAATCTCCACAGTCACACACACACGAACACACATGAACACATTTTGGCAGCACCAGCCCTCCCGGGTGTCTGCGACACAAGAAAACTAAACAAGAAGTCACCCCAGACTGCTGAATGCTGACATCATCATTTGCAGCATTAGTGAGTGCTTATTCTCCTGCTCTGTTTCTTTCTTTCTTTCTTTGAGTTTGGCGTTTCACTCCCTTTGCCTTCCCAATTTTCTTTTCTCTTTAACTTTTTTCCCCTCTGCTTCCTTGTTCCTCTCACTGTCTGGCTTTCCCTCTCCCTGGGAGTGAACAACCTTGGACTGATTCATACATTTTCCTTTCCTCTGGCCAGTAAATCCAGTCAGGAAAGCTGGAAAAGGAGCTAGCGGGAGGGGGTGGGGTGGGGGCTACTGAGGGTGTACATGATCAGAGGAAAATAAAAAGAAAATGAATCCAAGCAGAGACACAAAGACCAACTATTTGCTGTATATTTTTGGGAGAATTCAATTATAAAGATAAGTGTCAGTGTAAACCTAAGTTTGAGTAATGTTATATCCACAAGAGTCCGAACAACAAATAAATAGATACCAAGTGTCTGTTTGTGGGTACATTATTACAACATCTAATTAGATTATTTTCTACCCGTTGGTCGGCTCATTTTTCACATGTGTTTTCACAAGTGTCTGCACTCGTGTTGGGGATGTTGAGAAGTGAGTGCTTTTCCATATGCTCCTATAAAATTCAGTCAGCATGAGTGGGCAACAGTACAGATTTCAGACATTAAGCACACTCACTGAGGCACATGAGAAAACAAACCTAAATGTGTACAGATGCACCCATGAGGAATACGAGACACTGTATATGCAAACTTTATTTGACCTTTGTCTGCAGAATCTCACTTGCATGGGACCGAACTAAAGAACACCATTATATTCATACCCAGCAGGAATTTCCACTAATGGACTATAGAAAGACTCATTTTAGAAGATGCTTTAAAGAACATAAAGACCTATTTGTCTGTTGTCTGACCTGTTGTCATCAAAGGTTTCATGTGTCGACCATCAATCTTGAGATTGTGTCATTCCTTTTCCAAACTTTGGAAAATATGGACGTGTTTCTTGGTAACCATACACGAGCCTCCTTTCTGTCTGAATCTGCACGGGCACAGAGCCGGCGGTGCACTTGGTAGCTGGTAGGTAAACTAAGTACTTTCCGCGTTTTGTTTTCATAGTGACTAATAGCAGGCTCATTCTGAAAAGCCAGAGAAAGTTCACTTCTGGATTTATAAAATCACTTCACCACTCTGCATGCCATCCCAAAACCATCTCAAATACTCTAAAACAGTTTCAGAACGTTTGTGAAATACGGCCGCTGTGACCAAAAGGCACCCTCTCAAAAACGTTACACACCAGAGCACACACATCCGCGGGGCCCTGGAGTAAACTATCGCCTTTTAACAATCAGAACGAGCTGGTTGGCAAAACCAAGAAGATGCTCATTTACAGCATCCATGTTGTTTTAAGAAACTGTGTGTGTTGAGTGTCTGTCTGTGTGTATGTTTGTGTGTGAGTGGTGCTGTGTAGTGTTGATGGGAGTTTGATAGAAAAGTCCTGGTGACTTGGGCTATGCATCAAAGCGAGGCGGAGAAGCCGCACGGCATCTGGGAGCAATAACGTTGCTTCTAACCCTTCATTACCACAAAGCCCGGGCCCTGGGTGGCAGCCAGCGGCAATTTTCACAACCCTCCTCCTCACCTCCCTCCATTTTTCTTTCCCTCCATTCTCCTGCCATTCCCCTATTGAATTTGGTCTTTGAAGAAATTAAACACCAAACAGAGTAATTCTTGCATAGGGGAAGTTACAATGAGACTCTCTGGGTTTGATATACTTGTTTTGTTCAAATTACACTGCTTTTGACATGAGGGTTTGTCAGAAAGAGTTTTTTTTTAGAAGGAAATGTAGGAGAAAAAGACTTTGTGGAAAAAAAAGTATACATATTGCAAAAATTAGAAATAATACTAAGGGATTTAAAGCCAAACACATAGCATTTAAGGGAAACTTAAGTTACATTGGTGCTGTTTGGACTTTATTTAAAGTGAAGCCATATGTTGCCTGATTCTTAACGGCGAACAGAAGACATTCAGCTGAGAAAGTTGCACAGAGGAAGAGTTAGTTTGGAGCTATTTTAGCACAATGTGAAAAAGCTTGCCGGCCTTTTATGACTCATCAAACTACAAGGTTGTGTAATAATGCTCCAAACAAACTTTCTTTGGCAGCGCGCCAGTGTCCACAAATTGTACTTCTTTTTATACGATTTCAAGTGCTAGAACTCTCCTCACTGTGCATTTATCAGCTCTCCCTATGAGAGGGAGCAAAAATAAGAACAAGCGTCTTTGTAGAGAAAGGAAACCCACTGTCTGCAGCAGGTCAGCTATGGCTTCCTGTTTAGCAGCTAATTGCTAAGAAGTTAATTATCTTTTCTGCATTTACCTCTGGACAAGGTCAGTGTAACAACCTTGGGGCTCGCCTGGGCATGTGATCAATCACTACTGACCACCTAAGTGCGAAGGAAGGAGGGGGAGCCCGAGCCAACTGCCATGTAAACATGTGTGAAACTCCCCACATGTCTCGCAGCTCTGGTCTGATTACAGGCAAACGTTCAACGTGTGCGCTTGGTGTCTTTCTGTGGGACAAAGCACTCAATGAAAAGCCATCACAGCGAAGCGGTGACATGAAAAGCGAGCCTTGTTAACGTTCACTCTCACAACAGTAAACACACCACTGTAAGTGAATCCGTTTTTATATCACTCCGAGGATGTTTTTAGAATGTGTCAAAATGACAAATGAGGCGTGCAGTGTCTTAGTTATTGCATGTGAAACAAATGTTAGGTTCCACAGCCGGGCCAAAAACGGCTTTTCACACAACATGAACTGAAAAATAAATAAATAAACACGAGTAAAGGTAAAATTGAACATTAAAAATACAACTTTATTTTTCACAGAATACAACCCTACAAAAACAGATCACCACCAGATCATTTCTAATTTCTTGATATGTCTTGTTTTGTTTGTGTATTACAACTAATATCTATTTTTTTCTAATATAGGCTTATTTTGCTTGTTTGGCTTTAAATGTTCACTCTGAGATGTTTGACCAAGAAAATTGTTAGAAAAAGTCTTTTTGATTGTATTGTTTTATTTTGAGTGGTGTGATTTTCCAAACAGTTTTTTTGCAATTTTATTTAAAAATGTATAAAAATCTTATTTGTGGATTTTACACAGGTAATTTAAAGACATTCATATGTATCTATTCTGTATAAGATTCACTTAATTCATTAACGTTTATTTAAAATATACTGAAACTGAATTAAGATGGAGAGCTAATTTGGCAAGTTAACGCTTAAAGAACTCTGCATAATGAAATTGTGTCTTTGTGGTGTACATAATCTATAAAAGTCTAACCTTAAGACTAACATTAATGCACTTCCAAAGATTTAAGGGCAACTATTTTTGGTCCCCAAAGGGCAGCCGTGTCCCTGTAATCTGACTGTATGCGCAGATTTATTTTGCCAGAACATGACTCGCATGCAGCAATGTGGTTTCTATTTCTCTGTTCTGTCTTTGTGTGGGCACACTCCCAGGCTTTCTTTCAAAACAATTACATGCAACAAACAATCAGAGAAAATATGATAATTTTTGGAGGGAGAAGCAAACCTTCCCAATCATCCTGGTAGTCTGACAATGTGATGACACCCATAATTTTCTTACGTTTACTACGCATTTCATAGCATACGCGGATCACTTTTCTTTGTCGAACTTTACAACACTCCTGTGCTTTAAAAACAACGTCCCTGATCTTTTAATAAAATAAGAACTTCTGTACATCTTCGAGCAAGAACTGGGCATTCTGTCATGTGATGAGGTTGAAACCAAAATAGAGCAGCACATAGCCCATCATGAAAACGGGA